TACAGAAGGTGTCCATCCATCCATCCATTTTCATTGGTAGCCCTCATGGACTACCTCACGGTGTCCAGCCATCCATCCATTTTCATCCACCGGGTCGCAGGGGCAGCAGTAAAGCAATGTTTCGATTAAAATGGCTTAAACTTTACTAAGATAAGCCAGGATACACAGTATAGTAGAAGATCACTTTGCCAAGATAAGTAAAAGTCAAAGTTAGCCAGGATACACAGTATAGTAGAAGATTTGTAAAAAAAAAATCAAATAAAATTTCATCATAGTTGTTTTTGGAGTTACCCAGGAAACTGCAAGAACATAGGGGAAAAAAAAGTACAACACTGCCCAGAGGTAACAACAAGCTAATTTTAACATTTTTCTACATTTTTAACCCCAAGGTTTACTGATAATAAAATAAGGCTTTTCTTAACATAAATATAATTTTGATTGAAACGATCCAAAATTCTACATGCAATCCCCCACCCTGCTCTGTGTATACCAACAGCTATGAGACCGGTCAGTTATGAGCTAGAAAAAAAAAATTACACAACACTGAAACCAGGGGGGAAAGGAATGAAGAAAAAAAAAGACAAGTGAATGGTTTTTCAGCTTGGCTGGAAACTAACGGGTCCGATCGGTTTCGCCTGATGTGTGCAGTTCAGCTTGGCTGGAAACTAACGGCTCCGATCGGTTTCGCCTGATGTGTGCAGATGATGCTGGTTGTTAGGTGTCCACTGCAGAGAAGCTGCACAGAAACAGAAGTGAACTCATCTGTGTGCTGTGAGTTCCCTGCTGCTCAGGGATGAGCAGAGGAAAAAACTGCAGCACAGACTGATGGTGGTTGAATTTTAAAACACAACCATGCCTGTGACACCAGGGAGAGGAAGAATAACTTGATAAATAAACACATTTATACTATATTTATCCCATATTTGGGAAGGGGTAGCAGCAGATATGCTGTTAACAGGCTAGCACTAGCTAACGCCAAGCATGTGGTTCTTATGGGAATTGAACCCAGGACTTTCTGCTCTTTGCTTCTAAGGCAGGCATGCTACCCGCTACACTACACTATGCAATACCCAAAACATGATACATGGTGTTGTAGGATTATAGACTAGATTAAAGTCAGCGGAGAGGAAGACACAATTCGGCACATTTAGATAGCCTGACATTGGTTGAGAAATAGATTAAAGTTAGGGAAAAAAAGCCAAAGGTTTGTGAAGGAATGACTACAAATAATACAGAATTACAGCAAAAATCCGTTCAAATTTGTTTGTATAGAAAAATTATGCAAAAAGAAATGTTAAACACAAATTCGGGCAATATTACTCCAAAAGCTCGAAATTGTAAAATGATACTACCGTATCTTCCGGACTATAAGTCGCACTTGTTTTCATCCTTTGGCTAGTTTTGCTTATACTCAGGTGAGACTTATATATTAAAACACATCATTTCACGTTTTGGTTATTTTCACACCGATAGCCGCTAGAGGGCACTGGTGCGACTTATACTCCGAAGCGACTTAGATCCTGCAGGTTGATGGACCGTGGGGAGAAACCGGAGTACCTGGATTGAACCCAGATACACAAAAGGAAAACATGCAAACCCCATTCAGAAAAAGATCATCAGTTTTAGCCGGGACTCAAAGTGACATTCTTGCGGTAAGGCGTCCCCTATGTAATAACGGTCAGTGGTTGTCCAAGACTCATGTTGATCTCCTCTATACGAGGACCGTAGAGATGATTTGATCTACAGCAAAACACAAAAGCTTCTAATTGTTCAATATCTTTGTCCCTGGTGTATTTAATAGCAGCAGCTGCTAAATTTGAAAATAATGCATTTCAGCAGAGTCTGTCCCAGACTCTCCCTGTAGAGCTGAGGTCTCTACCACGCACTCATATATACAGAAAGAACCTTAAAACCTCCCTGGTCTCCAGACTCCTATCCAGTACCCTCCTTGTTCCTGCTCAGAATTAAATACTGTTATATAACGTTTTGCTTTGTCTTGGCTATCTCTTAGCTTTATGTGAGGTGTTTTTTTATTTGTTGGCATGGAGATCATTTCATTTGTAATATTTTGTCCGACCTTTCTGTTTATGTGGACAAACTTTTAATTTAAAAAAATGATTTAGGTTCTTACAATTTTTTTGTCCCTATGTTTAGAAATGCTAGTAATGCTACTTAGATAGATAGATAGATAGATAGATAGATCGATAGATAGATAGATAGATAGATAGCTATCTACATAGATAGATAGCTAGCTAGCTAGCTACTAAGGCTTATGTATTTTGTGCATTTTATAATAAAAATAAATATTTTTTTACAATGTGCTATCTGACGTTTATATATTTTTGAAATGTTAACTTTTTGTTTTTGTATTTCAAGTATTTGATTTCTTTGTTTGACAAAACTAAAAAAAATACGAGATCAATTTTTGGCTTTATTTGTAGTTAGTCAAACGTTGACAATAATGATTATAAAAATAATCATTATTATGATTGATTATAAA